CCCGTCCTCCCCAGTCCTCCCCAGCCCAGGCCTGTCTCCCTTCCGCCTTCCTTAGGTGTTTGTCCAATCCTTGCCCTTGTCCTTGTGACCCTTGTCCTCGGACTTTTCTCCTCTTTTCCTTGACCTTTGTCTCCTGGCATCAAGCTTTTGCTCACCCTCTGTTGTCCCCCCTTTCGGTCTTGCTGACCCTCATCCCCTCCCTCCCGCTCTGTCCCCTCCTTCCGTTCAGTGCCCTCTTGCCTGGGTCCCAGTGGCCTTTCCCTGGGCTCCTCTTTATTCCTAGAATAAAAGGGTCATAGAAAGAAGGGTCTCCCTCGGGTCTGAGGCCCTCACTTGACAGGGAGGAAACTGAGGCCCGAAAGGGGAGGTCACTGACCAAGGCCAGTGCGCAGACAAGACCAGCACCCGGGCCTCCTCCTGCCCAGCGAGCACCTGCCTCTCTCCTCCCTTGGGCTCTGCCTGCCCATCCCTGCCCAGTGCCCAGCTGGGTCTCTCCCCGGGTCCCTCTCACCCACACTCACCCCCCGGCTCCCGCTGCTTTCCCTCTTCCTGCCTCCCTCCATGCCCGGCCAGCGGCCAGCCCCCGACTGACCCGACTGTCTCTCCCAACAGTGCCCGAGGCTCCGGTCATCGACACGCAGCGCACCTTCGCCTACGACCAGATCTTCCTGTGCTGGCGGCTGCCCCCGCACTCGCCGCCTGCCTGGCACTACACCATTGAGTTCCGGCGCACGGACGTGCCCGCCCAGCCGGGCCCCACCCACTGGCAGCGGCGGGAGGAGGTGAGGGGCACCAGTGCCCTGCTGGAGAACCCCGACATCGGCTCCGTGTACGTGCTGCGTGTCCGCGGCTGCAACAAGGCCGGCTATGGCGAGTACAGTGAGGACGTGCACCTGCACACCCCCCCAGCGCCCGGTGAGTGGCAGAGGGGTGGGCCCAGGGTGGCACAGACAGGGCACAGGGCATGCTGGGACCCAGGCACTGACCGGCGGGGCCGGGTGAGCGCTGCAGAGACGGGATGATGCCGGGGTCACACTCACTCACTCTGGAGCTAGGTTTGCTGCGTTCACATCCCAGCTCTGCCTCTTGCCAACTGTATGGCTTTGGGCAAGTTTTTCAGCCTCTGAACTTCAAGTTCCTCTTCTGCAGGGGCATATACAATACTCGCCTCAGAGGGCTGTTGTGAGAATTAATTGAATTGATTCATGTAAAGTCTTAACAGAGTTTCCACCTCAAGTAAGGGCTCAATAAGTGACAGTACAGTGACTGTCCAGAAAACAGTGTGGACCCTGGAACACAGGCATTATCACCCCGCCACCCAGGGGCGGACGAGGGAGGGGCTGGATGTCAGGACCAGATGTGAGCACCAGTGTGGGCTGGGAGGTGCAGGCAGATGTGGGGGTGTCACCACATGGGACGGAACAGCCGGGGGACGGGGTGAGGGGAAGCCCTGTGAGGCAGCTGGTCTGGGGACCAGTTTCCATGTCCACGAGTCATCACTCCACTCCTCGGGGGTCCCATGCCCACTTGAAGTCCCCACTTCTTTCTTCCCTGTGCCCCTCGGTCCAGTTCCCCGGGCCCTGTTCCCAAAGCCCTGGGCAGTGCGTTCCGTGTTCTGAAACCTCCCAGTGTCCTGTCCTCACAGTCCCAGTTTGTCCCTGAGGTCCTTCCTTTTGTCTCCCCCTCCCCCCACTCCAGTCCTTCACTTCTTCCTCGACGGCCGCTGGGGCGCCAGCCGGGAGAGGCTGGCCATCAGCAAGGACCAGCGGGCGGTGCGCAGTGTGCCCGGGCTGCCCCTGCTCCTGGCGGCCGAGCGGCTGCTCACTGGCTGCCACCTGAGTGTGGACGTGGTCCTGGGCGACGTGGCCGTGACTCAGGGCCGCAGCTACTGGGCCTGCGCCGTCGACCCAGCCTCCTACCTGGTCAAGGTGGGCGTCGGGCTGGAGAGCAAGCTTCAGGAGAGCTTCCAGGGCGCTGCCGACGTGATCAGCCCCAGGTCAGGCCGCTCTGGCAGGGAGGGGTGGGGACCCGGTGGGGAGCTGGGGGCAGGATGGGGTGGCAAGAGGAGCACAGACTTGCTGGGGTGGAGCTGGGGGGAGACTGAGGAGGAAGCAGTAAAGTCATGGAAGCCCGGACCGGGGCCTGTGGCCAGGGGACGTGAGGGAGGGGTCGGGGAGGGGCCCTGAGGACTGGGTTTTGGAGTGTGTGGCTGGGGAAGGAGAGGAAAGAAGAGGGAACCACCTCCACTTCCTTCCATCTGTCACTCAAGATAGACCATCTCTCCACGCCTCCGCGCCATCTCCGCATATCCCATTTCCAACCTCCTCTCCCCACAAACGCCTTTCTCTCCCATACCTTTTTCACCCACATCTTTTAACGCCCTAAAATTCTCCCCTTAAACTCTCCATCTCCACACCCTCTCATCCCTAACACCCTACTTAACACCCCCCTGCGCGTGCCTCCCTCCCTGAGCCCTTCCTCCCAGCTCTCTGCCCAAGAGCAGCTCGGTCCCCAGTCCCAATCCTGCTGACAGCTCCCATCCGGGACACCAGTCTGCCCTCATCTCTCCCAACACCTAACCTTCCCACGTCCTTTCTCTGCGCTTCCTCTCACCAGGACTTGGTCACAAACTCCTCATTCTCCCAGCTTCTCCAGCCCTCAGAACCCGCTCCCCACGGGATGTCCCCAAACCATACTTCTCGCCCCTTCCTCCTGATACGGCTGCACGTCTGCAGGATGCTGTATCAGCACCTTGTCTGTCCTTTGCCCGATACCTCTCGTGCCAGCGTGACTTCCTTCCAGTGCCCCTTTTCTGCCAAACCACACCCCGACCCTACATTCTAACCCGTCTCTTTGACATGGTTTCTCCTCCATATCCCAAATCCATCCTTTCAACCAACATTCCGCACTTCCCACGCCTCAGCCCTCTGGGACCCATCCCCCACCCCCTTCCTCCACCCCACACCCTGCTACCCCGTGCCCTCTCCTGCAGGTACGACCCGGACAGCGGACACGACAGCGGGGCCGAGGATGCCACGGTGGAGGCGTCGCCACCCTTCGCGTTCCTCACCATCGGCATGGGCAAGATCCTGCTGGGGGCCGGGGCCGGGGCCGGGGCCAGCGCAGGGCTCACTGGGAGGGACGGCCCGGCAGCCGGCTGCACCGTGCCCCTGCCACCCCGCCTGGGCATCTGCCTGGACTACGAGCAGGGCCGGGTTTCCTTCCTGGACGCGGTGTCCTTCCGGGGGCTCCTGGAGTGCCCCCTGGACTGCTCGGGGCCCGTGTGCCCCGCCTTCTGCTTCATTGGGGGGGGTGCCGTGCAGCTGCAGGAGCCCGTGGGCACCAAGCCCGAGAGGAAGGTCACCATTGGGGGCTTCGCCAAGCTGGACTGACGGCCGACGGCCTCCCGAGGCCCCGGCCCTCTAAGCTTCCTGGAGCCGGCGATCCCTCCAGCAGCTTTTCCCTCACTCTTCCTACCAGGTGGTCCTATCCTCACCCCATGTCTGTGTCTCCCCAGGGCCTTCTCTTGATCAAGGGACACTCCTCCGCTCACCTCTTGGCTGACCGCCATTGCTCCACTGCCTGTTCATCCAGACCCCACCCCACCAAGTTCCTGCTCCATCCTCTGCCCGTGGCATCCCACCACGTCATGGGAGAGCCCTGCCCCCACCCGGCCCTTCTCCCCAGCACTCAGGCCAATTGGCAGGGAGGCTCCCGGAACACCGGGCATGATCCCCGCTCTGCCCTCTGCCCTGCCGAGCTGCCTGCCCACCGATGCTGACCGATGGCCTTAGCGTGGGCAGGCTCTTTGCCAACACTGCCTAGGCATTCCCGGGGAGGGGCAAAGGACCCTCTCCTGTGTTTGTGTGGGTCCCCGTGCCCTGCAGCCGCATGCCCGTACGCCCTCTCCCTCTTGCATGCTTCCCTGTCCCGCACCCGCACCCACGCAGATGTGCCGCGGCTCCCTTTGGGGCCACACGCAGGTTGGATGTCCCCATTGGGTTGGGCCAGGCAAGACCTGGGGCCCACTGCTGCCCCCCTGTGGCAGGGACTGCGGGGCCTGTGCCAAGCAACAGCTGTCATTTTCATGGTTTATACACAATAAACTGTGATGCCGGGCACATCTCCGCCTTCCCTGAGCCCGACCAGTCCTCTCAGTTTCTGTGCTGGGTGCGGCTGCCGGAGGGATCCGGTGCTCAGCTGGTGCTCAGCAGGGCTGCCTGATGGGTATGGCCCTAAGGGGAGGAGGTCCCCCAGCCAGGGGCTGCCACGCCTCCTGCCCACACAGGTGCCCGGCCCAGGCCTGAGCCCACCGTGGCCGCCAGGGGGCGCGTGGCTCTGGTGACCTCCTGTGTCCCCTGATGAGGCTGGGACACCCGCTCCCAGACCCCGAGGGAATGTGGTTGAGCTCAAAGGGGCAGGGAACCGGAACCACTTCCCCATTCCCAGGGTGCGGGGAGCAGACCCCAGAGCCAGTGGGCGGGGGGCCGAGGGGGGGGGGGGCGCGGCCAGGGAGGGGACCGGGCCTGGCGCCAGCCCCGGATCTAACACTTATCAGGCCGTGTTGACTCTGTGGTTGTTATCGCTGCCTGAGGACTTACTTCACACCCGAGCAGCTCAGAATAGAACCGCCTGAGGGCATCGTGCCAAGGGGAGAAGAGGGTGCGGGCCGGCCAGCCCCCAGCCAGGGTGAAACCAGGGGCGAGCCATGGGCGCAGGCCGAGCAGGCCCAGGCCAGAGCCCAGCCACTTAGGTTTCGTTTCCTCCTTCCTCTTGTGCCGCCAGCGATGGGGGAGAGGTGACTCAAATTCTTCCACCAGCCACTCCTGACCCAATGTCATCTCGCCACACCCGCTGCTGCCCAAGTGAACCCCGCTCCCGGCCTTCTTTCCGCCCTGCCTCCTCCCCGAAAGTCCCCTCCAGACCCCCACACTCATACATCCTGATCTCCCCTCCTGTCTGAGGGTCACAGATGACAGATCAGAAGTTGGAGCCAGAGCGGAGGAGGCCCATGTTTTATTCAGCCATGTACAAGTTCCCACTCCGACTTGGTCTGGATTTCGGGCCGGTCCTGGAGCCACTGCCCCAGGCACGTTCCCCAGGGCTGAGATGGGTTAGGGATGTGCAGGAGCTGCGAGCAGCCCACCGGAACTCCCAGCTCACCAGTCCAGAAAGGGGGAGGGGGCACTGGTGGTGAAGACCAAGACCATGACAGAGGCCACTGGCCGGCTGCTCAGCAGGCAACGTGCCCCTACAAGTTGGCAGAAGTGGCTGCTGGGTTCGTGTAGGAGAGGCTGCTGCCACCATTGCCTGCAGAAACCTAGGTGAGGGGGGAAAGGGTCCAGGCTGACGGGCAGAAGCTTCCCTGGGAGAAGCCGCCACCCCAGGGCCCCTGGATGGCACCCCAGGCTGGGGTAGTGGTCTGGGAGCCTGACTAGCTCTCGAAGGGTTAATCTGGAGAGAGCACCTGCCAGGCACCACCAGCAGCCAGGTGACTGTAAACAGGGCCTTTCCTCCTCCCTCTGCTCCCCTGCACTCCCTCCCCTCGGTTCTAACCAGCCCCCTTGCGGTCCCCTCCTGCCCCTCTCCCTCCATTCTCTGCTCTTCCAGCCCACGAAGGCGTGTGTGCTCATCTGGGTGAAACTAGGAGAAGGAAGTCCCAGGAGTGGGGAAATGGGGTCAAGGAAAGAAAAGTCCCCTCCCCCACCGGGAGTTCCAGCCCCAGGTGACCAAGTAATTATTTACTAGTCCTGCAGAGAAGGCCAGGGGAGGGAAGGAGGAGGAGGGTCCTTGCTTCCCTGAGACTCCCAAGAACCCCACCCAGGCTCACCTGGCTTGGTGAGACTTCAGCCTTGGAATCAGAGACCCCCCCCCCAACATTCCCCACCCTACCCTCCATTCTTAGGAGAGAGGGGGACAGGCGCTCACTCCTTGTGAGTCCTGTGTGAAGGGTGCCCACCCATTTCACCTCTGGGCATCCCAGTCTGGCTGACCAGCGAATGCTCTCCTGGTAGTGGGGACACTCCCTCATGAGGTCCCCTTTCTTCCATGGTCGCCCCAGGCCTTTCCCCTAGAACTCTCCTGACCGCCACCCACCTCCTTGCCCGGCCCTCCACTGCTTGCTTCATGTCACCCCTCACCTTTTCTAAGTTCTTTGGATTTTGCAAGTACCCCTGCCGGCCCCCTTCCCAGCCAAAGCCTCTTCTCCCTCCCCCGTGGGGCCCATCCTCACCTCCTCGTAAGGGCTACGTTTGGCACCAGGGGGCACATAGCGCCCGTGGGTGTGGTAGGTGGGGTACTCGCTCATAGGATGGTAGGCATCTCGGGTTGGGAAGAGGTCCAGCTGCCCACAGCTCTTCCGGCGGCACTGACACACAGCCTGGGGGAGACAGGAGGTTAGGGGGAGCCACGGAGTTCCTTCTAGCAGGGGGACCCTGGGCAGAGCTGAAGACTGAGCACTTACCAGGGCAATGAGATAGATGATGGCCAGCGCGACCAGAACACAGACCAGCACCAGCAGGGCAATGCCCCAGCCAGGTACCCCGGACCCAGGCCGGGAAGAGGAAGGAAATGACACATCATCCACTGAAAGGAAAAGCGGTCGGTCATCAGGGTAGTTTCCCAAAGGAGGGGACCGTCCCCCACCACCCCCGGGGAGAAGCAGGAATCCAGCAGGAATCCGGATGCTGGAGAGTGAGTGGCCCTAGAAGCTTCGTGCTGGCCTGAGGCAAGGAAAGTGGCCTCACCACTAAGTCTTGAGATGACCCAGTTGTATCTCTTTTCATGTATTTCATCTTGAAGAAACTGTGCCGCTACCTTGTTGGCATCGGTGGTGCGCCCTCGAAAGGCCAGAGTTGATTCCACCACCACAGATCCTGGCCTGCTCACAGGGAAATGAGCAATTCAGGTGCAGGTCCCAGCTTCTGGCCACTTCCCCCAACCACCAGTGTACCAGTCCTTCCCCACAATCACAACAACATTTACCCACCCAGACGGAGTCCACACCCAGACTGTACCTGAACTTTACGTTAGAGGAGCCCAGAAAATTCTCCTGCTTATAAATCTGCAAAATCTGGGGGGAGAGGGTAAGTATTAAGTGTGGAGCACGGGTTCGAGCAGTTCTGAAGCTGCGGCGAAGGAGCGCATGGAGGAAGGACAGTTACTCACCCATTCAGTAACGTTTCTCTGCAGCACCTGGTAATAGTTAGTGCTGGGATCTTCCAGGGAAGAGTTAAACGGGAGGTTTGAAATATGAAAGGACAGGAAGAAGAAGGACAAGCTATGACTGGAAGAGGTGAGGGGCACTATGCCACGGCTAGTGCTACTGGCTGTAGTCCTGGTTCTGTGGCTGGCAGGGGTGGTGGGAGTATCAGAGTGGCTGGGAACTGAGGATGGAGTGCCCTTGCCAACTGGGGTGGTGGTAGCCTTGGCAGAAGTGCCCTTGTGCGCTGGAGTGGCGGCCGAGCTTGAGGCAGAGCTGGTGGCCGGGGAAGAGGTGGCACCGTGGACTGGAGTGGTGGCCACGCTTGAGGCAGGGCTGGTGGCCGGGGAAGAGGTGGCACCGTGGACTGGAGTGGTGGCCACGCTTGAGGCAGGGCTGGTGGCCGGGGAAGAGGTGGCACCGTGGACTGAACTTGTGGCTGAGCTTGAGGCAGAGCTGGGGGCCGGGGAAGAGGTGGCACCGTGGACTGAACCTGTGGCTGAGCTTGAGGCAGAGCTGGTGGCTGGGGAAGAGGTGGCACCGTGGACTGAACCTGTGGCTGAGCTTGAAGCAGGGCTGGTGGCCGGGGAAGAGACGGCACCAGGGGATGGAGTGGCGACCACACTTGAGGCAGAGCTGGTGGCTGGGGAAGAGACGGCACCGGGGACTGGAGTGGTGGCCGAGCTTGAGGCAGAGCTGGTGGCTGGGGAAGAGGTGGCACCAGGAGCTGGAGTGGCAGCCACACTTGAGGCAGAGCTGGTGGCCGAGGAAGAGGTGGCACTGGGGGCTGGAGTGGTGACCACACTTGAGGCAGAGCTGGTGGCCGGAGAAGAGACAGCACCGGGGACTGAACTTGTGGTTGAGCTTGAGGCAGGGCTGGTGGCCGGGGAAGAGGCAGCACCGGGGGTTGCAGTGGTGGCCGAGCTTGAGGCAGAGCTGGTGACGGGGGAAGAGGTGGCACCGGGGGTTGCAGTGGTGGCCGAGCTTGAGGCAGAGCTGGTGGCCGGGGAAGAGGTGGCACCGGGGGTTGCAGTGGTGGCCGAGCTTGAGGCAGGGCTGGTGACGGGGGAAGAGGTGGCACCGGGGGTTGCAGTGGTGGCCGAGCTTGAGGCAGAGCTGGTGGCCGGGGAAGAGGCGGCACCGGGGGTTGCAGTGGTGGCTGAGCTTGAGTCAGAGCTGGTGACAGGGGAAGAGGTGGCACCGGGGGTTGCAGTGGTGGTTGAGCTTGAGGCAGGGCTGTGAGTGGGGAGTGAGCTGCTGGTTGTGCTCACAGAACTTCTGTCAGCGAACCTGGACATTGGGCTGCTTCGGACAGTCACAGTCTGTGTATTTCCCGTGTGGCTTGTGTGGCCAGAGGTTGTAGGAACCATTGTTGTGGGAGTGGGAGAAGCTGTAAGAAATTGAGAATGAGGTTCAGGGGTAAATCAGAACCAGGAGGAAATACTTCCTCTAGCATTTGGAGAAGTCATGCTAGGAGGATCTGGGGAGCAGGCCCTGGAGTCAGCCCTCCTCCTCCCTCCCAGCTGCAGCCTCCCTCTCTTCCCACACCCTCCGCTCCCGGTTTAGCCGTTCTCCACTCCTAAGATTTACCTCCCCTGCCGCTCCCACTCCCACCCCCACCCTGCACTTCCCTTCAGGAAAGCCCCTGGCACCCATTCTCCTGGGGGGTCGTCTCTGAGCCTGTCTCCTTTATTCTGGCACAGACAGGCCACCTGTCTGCCATTTCTGCCTTGTGGGGTACCATCTGCCAGGAAACAAAACCCACAGAAAGGCTGTGCAGGGCAGCCCCTTCCCCACCGTGTGCCCCTCACCTGTAAGCACTAGGACTAGCAGCAGCAGGAAAGAGCGAGAGGCCTGGATGCCTGGTGTCATGGTGGTGGTGAACCGGGTGGGGAGGGGGCAGACCAGATTTAGGCCGGCACTGGGCACTGCGTGTGAGGTGGAGCAGCACAGGTGCCGGCTGTTTTATACTGGTCCCCCCCACCCCCCCTGCCCGCCAGAGCAGGTGACAGGTGACAAAACCCCGCCCCTCCTCCATTCCCGACCTCCTCTCTCTTCCTCCTCCTCCCCAACCATTCCTGTCCCCTCAGGTAGGGCACATGGGCTCCAATCATTCAACTCTCTGACAACCTGTTTGTTCTCGAGGTGGCCTCCCCTTTTCACCAACCACTCCCTGGCTCCAGAAAGCGGGGTGTGTGTGTGTGTGTGTGTGTTTGTGAAAGTGGGGGAAGTCTGGGACCTGGGTCCCCTAGGCCTTAGTTTTAGCCCCAGGGCAACAGCCAAGGTTAGAAAGGTAACAGAGAACGCGGGCTAGGTTCAGGCTGGGAAGTTCACCCTCCGCCCCCCACCCCAGGGCTCCCTGGGGCCCTCGAAGCCCGGCTCCGGGGCTGAGAAGAGAAGGGGAAGCTTGGTGAGGAGTGGACTAGGTGTTGGCTTTGGACCCCCTCCCCCACCCCTTCCCGGAATAGCCCCACCTTGCTCACCGCTCCCTGTCCCGTTCTGCAGTTCTGCCCCAAACCCACAGCCCCGCCCCTGCCGGACTCTCCAGCCGACTGAGTTCCTTCCTTGGCTTTCTCCCGAGAAGGGAGCGGGGAAGAAATTTCCGCTTAAAGGACGAAACCGCGAAACCGCCGAACTCTAGGTCTTCCCTCGCCAGCCCTCCACCGGGTAGCGGGCCGCCCGCGGGTGGCCGGGCTCTCCTGCCCTCTAGTGGCCGCACGGAGCCCACGACGCCTGCCCCGGCGGGTGGGGAGGCTGCCCGGGTCCGGGAGGAGGTTGGACGGCGGCGCTGCCTAACCCGGGGCCGGGAGAGGCTAGGAGGGCAGCGCCCCCGGGACGAGAGCCAGTGGCTGGGACAGAGAAGGGGGGGAATGCGATGCGCCATCGACGGAGCGGCCGGGGACCGTAGGAGGGGACGCGGGCGCGTGGGGCGATGTCTGCGGGAAATGGCGCTAAGTGGGTGTGATCCTGAGGTACACGGAAAAGTGGGCGAGGCACGTAAGAAAGTACATCGGAAAAGTGGGGGGCGGTGCGACAGGTTACGTACTTAGGAGTCAGATAATAGGTAGGACACAGAATGGTATTGGGGGACCGTGGACTATCTTTTGGGGGAGCAGAGTGGTATTTGGAGCAGGTAAGCACATGGTAAAAGTGTATGAGGTCGCGTCACTTTGGAGAACCGAGAGAGATTAAAGGACAGAAATATCTGGGACCAGAGAGGTGTTCACAGCGGCGCACGGAATTTAGGGCGTCTGGCCTCCGCCGAGGTGCTGGGTTGCGGTCTCGGCCAACGGAAGCAGCTACGTCCGCGTTAGGGACACAATTCCTAGCCCCGACGAATACAGATTGAAAATTTAACTTTACACACACCGGTGCGGCGGGAAGCCTGGGACAACAGCTCTCCACCCGGTCGGCGCGGCTTTGTGCGGCGCCCGGCGGGACGTCAGCGCCCGGCGCGGTGGGAGGGGCGGGGAAGCCCTCCACCCGCCCGCGGGAGAACGCGCGGGCGTCTAGGTGGGCGGCCTCCAAACTTCAACCCTGGAGTTGCCAGGCAACAGCCTTTAGTTCAGTTGCTGGGATACGCGTTACCATGGCGACAGCTCCGCGCCGTGCAGTCGGAGTATTTAAAGAGCAAGCGCGCACAACGCCGGCGTCAGAAAGCGGCCTTCCGGGATACCAGTGTCGTCCCTTCGGCCTTCTCCCTCTCCCCCCACCTCCCCTTCCCATCCCCTTCCCCCTCTTCCGGCCGCCAAGTCCCTCTGGCCTCCCAGGTGAACTCAACTTCCCAGAGCGCTCCGGGTCCTTGGGCTGGTCCCGCTCTAAGCGGTGGGGAGCGGGATCCCGGGCCCCGGGCGGGCGGGAGGGACGGGACGCGGTGCAGTGTTGTTCTTTCCCCCGCCAATATTGCACTCGTCCCGGCCTCCGGCCCTCCCGGCCCCCCGGCCCCTCGCTCACCCCGAGCGGGGCAGCCCCAGCCCTCCTGGCTCTCGATCCTGACCGATCTATTGACTGGAGTGTCGCTGCTGCCATCGTAAGTAAGTGGGGCTGGGAGAACTTTAACCACCCTCTGACCAGCACCTCATCCTTCACCTACCCCAGCCCCATCCTTCCCCTAACCCTCACCCAGCACCTGCCTCACCGTGCCCCAAGCTCAGCCAAACTTCCTCTAACTTCCATCCTACCAGCCCGCTCCCTTACCCTTCTCGGGATCCTTTTTCATTGGTCACTACCCCGGAAAATCCCTAAAATAAGCAACTGCACTGGCTTAGAAAACAACTGGAACTTTATGGTAATATGCTCTTATCTTTCCTGGGGTTAGCGCCTGAGAAATGCCCCTTGAAAACTTCCCATCTCAACAGTCACCACTCCTCTGGGGCTGAACTCCTGATGGTGCCAAAGGGTGTGCATTTGGCTGAGGGGCTGTAGATTAGACCCGGGGGCCACCGGGATGGATCCCAAGGCCAAAGGGTCTAAAATCAGGATTTTGAATCTGGTAGCCACCTCTTCACACTCTTCCAAGGAGCAGCTGCCTCCGGAATGGCTCAAAGTCCTCGGGAACTGTGTCTGAGGAAGGAGAAACAATTAAAGTCAAGGATGTGACTCTCCCATGAGGGCATGAGAGGTCAGGCTGATAGGGGTAGAGAGCCTCACCATTGCATCGGTACTGGAGATTGGACCAAATGATGTTTTCTTGGGAGAAGCAGAATACACCAAGACGCCCCCCTCGCATGGATGTGTCAATGATCACCCCAGAATCCGCCACTAGCTGGGGACCCTCATAGAGCTTCACTCTGTCCAGGATAGGGGTTTCCGTTGGTGCCAGGGTACCAGTGGGCACTGTGCCACTATGCTGGGGCCCTGCTCATCCCCAACCCCCCTTAGCTTAGCTCACCAGGCCTGAGAGAAGGAAGGAAAGGGGAGGGAAGGGGGTGCTTTTCTCAGGCCTGGGGCCCCTGGCTCTTTGTCCAGCCCCCTTTGCATCTCAAAGCACCAGCCGCATTCCAAGCGAGGATTGGGTTGCCATGACGATGAACACAATGGGCTGGGGGGTGAAGTCACCCGCTTCCCAGGCTCTGGTCCACCCCTCCCTTATCCCTTGCCCTGGCGCCCCACAGCCCCAGGAACCTTAAAGGGAAACCAACCCCAGTGTCTGGACTCTGGGCTCTTGGCCATTTCCTCTCCCTTCCCTGTCATCCCCACCAACTAGGAAATGCAGAGTCGTGGACAAAGTGCTGAACTAAGAGGCCTCAGCCCTGCTCTGAAGAGCTGTGAAGTCTGGGTCTTGGTTTGCATGTCTGTCAATGATGGTCCCTTCCAGGTCAGACCCCTTGAGGAGGCAGCTTCTGGGCTGTCCCACCAGTGAAAGGGCTGGATATGATGTCCCTCTCCGCAGACTGGCCTGGGCTTTGGAGGCTCCCAGAGTTGCCCTTGTTTTACTGAGTGGAAATGGAGCACAGAAGAGGAAGGACTTGCCCAACATTGCCAATATGTCATCAGCACTAGAGCCCAGGCCGCCTGATGCTAGGAAGAAAGCAGGGCTGAGGCAGCGTGTCTGTGGTGAAAGAGGATGGAGAGAAGTGGTCCCAGTCTGGGCCCATGGCACCAAGGCACTGAGTAGCGGGGTCACTGGTGAGTCCCAGCTAAAAGGGAAGGAAAGGCGGAGCCTGGGGTCCCTCAGGAGGCAGCCTGTCCCCTCACCGAATGTAGCCAACTTGAGGCCGGTGCAGCAGCTGCCAGCGGTAGGAGGTCTTGTCACGCCAGCCCACATTTCGTGGGTCAGTCCACAGCAGTCGTACCTGATCAGGGGTGTGGCCAGTATGCCACAAGGCATTCCGGAGGTGCTCACCTGGGCCAGACACTGATGTCACTGCCTGAAGGGCATTGGCAAAGACAGTGGGTCAACCACAGGAACCAAAGGAGGGCAGAGACAACAGGTTGGTAAGTACAGGTGGGAAAGGAAGTCCAGGTGGTCAGGAGAATGTTCTGAAGCCCCGGGGAGCCAACCTCCAGACCCAATGTCTGAGTAAGAGGGTTCCCGCTCAGGTAGGGGGAGAGGTTTTGGGAAAGGGTCCTGGATTGGGGAATCTGGGCAGCTGTGGGACCTTGAGCTGCAGCCCAGGCTGGGCAACAGCCCGGAAAGGCGTGGCCTGCCAGTAGGTCTGCTCCGTCTGCTTCCACATGACCACGTAGAAGCGGCCACTGTCCTGGTAGCTGAAGAGGAAGCCTGCGTAGTCATCATCGGTCACGGTGTTCACATGGAAGGTGCCTTCAAAGTCCACACCGTTGAAGGCGGTATATCCTAGGGGTGGGTAGGTGTGTGGGATCAAGATCAGGGCAGCAAAGCTACTAGTGGCCCTTTGTGCACTGGGGGTGGGAAGGGATGCCTGCTGTATGTGTGGCCAGCTTGTCCCCACCCTCTGCCCCTGTCAGATTCCTCTATTTGGAAGGCATTGAACTGGGTATCCCTCACATACCAACTGCCAGGCCAGGGTCACTGTTCATGGTCTGAACGATTTCCATGCCCTGGTGATGGGCAATAAAGAAGAAAGACCTGATCCAGGTGCGCTACCCACCTAGGCCCTGCCCGGGAGTTTGGTCTGACAGCACCCACCCAGCCCACTGCCCTAGTACCTGGTTGAGCACGACCCAGTTTGGATCAATCTGAGCATCCCCTTCAGGGTCCAAGACGACGGTCTGATAGGCCCGAAAATCTGTGAGTGTTACCTCTGCACTTTCAGGGCACACATCCAGGGGGTCGACCACCGCATCATTGTCAAAGTCATCCTCACACACATCGCCAATGCCATTGCCTGGGAAGAGTGGGGCTAGGCACTCAGGGATGCTGTGGCCACTGCCACCAGCTAACACTACTACCCCTTGAGCCTTGCATTCTTTTCTTTCTTTCTTTTTTTTAATATATCTTTATTGATTTCAGAGAGGAAGGGAGAGAGAGATAGAAACTTCAGTGATGAGAGAGACTCACTGATCGGCTGCCTCCTTCATGCCCCCCACTGGGGATCGAGCCCACAGCCCAGGCATGTGCCCTTGACCAGGATTGAACCTGGGACCTTTCAGTTCTCAGGCCGAAGCTCTATCCACTGAGCCAAACCAGCTAGGGTGGGTCCTGCATTCTTGACCTCTCTCTCCCCACCCTGCCCTTTCTAACTCCCCAGCAAGTCTACCACCTCTCCATGAGCAAAGCCCACACCAGTCCAGTCCTCTGGGACCCCAGCCTTACCATCCGAGTCCTTCTGATTGGGGTTGGGTACCAGGCGACAGTTATCAGGACCAGGAGGCACATAATCTGGGACACCATCATTGTCATCGTCCCCGTCACACTCATCTCCAAGCCCGTCATTGTCCGAGTCCAGCTGGGAACTATTGGGTAGCTGTGGGCAGTTGTCTTTGGTGTCCTGATGTCCATCTCCATCGCTGCCCAGAAGAACAGGCGCCAGATAAAAGCTCTAAAGGTACCACATCCTTCCCTTGTCACCTGCTTAAGAGTCTCTCTGAGGTATGAGGTGTACCCTCTGTTCAACCAGACCCCTTACAGTCAGCCAGGTGAGGTGAAGGTCCAGAAGTAGAAATGGAGGACAGACTACAGGAATAACTTCCTGTTCAGCAGTAGTGGAGGATTAGGGCTAAACCATAGAATTGAGAATATACTAGAGAGAAATTAAGTATCCCCTGGAAGATCTTTTGTCTCTTGGCCAAAACCCTACCTGTCTTCATTGGTGTCACAGACATCCCC